CGACTCCCTACACGAAGATATATGTGTGCTACTGGTGTCCCGTAGCCAAAATACTATCTCACTGGATTACTAAAATTCAGCACGCATACTCAAACGCGCAGTAGTTAAAGAAAACACACACATATACATACTCATTACCTGCCACCCGCTTGCTTGCTGGTGCAGCACACATGACTACATATTTATATAAGTATATATATATATATATCGGGAGAGGGAGAGAGTGAGACAAGGGAAGAATGATGCCGAATGACAACACGGAATTCCCTACGCACACAAGGTGGCATGACTGGCTCCAAGACAGGGACAGTAAATTCAAACGGCTCAGTCAGATCAGACACAGTCCCTGCTGTGACAGAAAGTTGGCTGTAATGAAGGACTGCCGTAGAAAGGTGCACCTGAGGGACGGTTTCAGAAAGAGATGCATACTTTGTGGTAGGGTAACATCGCTTGAACAATGTATTCTGCAAGCCATCATGGGTTGCATTCACATTTTCTAGGTTCTAACAATAGTAATACACTAGCGATGACTAATAATAATCATTAACAGCTCAGCCAATACATACATAAATCGGCGTAGACAAAAAGAGAGAGATGGAGAGAGAGGGATCACCGCGTAACTAGTTACAGCAAAAGTAAAGCGTTCATTGAGTCTTCTGTTTCGATATCCAAACATGCTTGTTGTCAGCCATACAGTTTTTGCATGCATCGATCAAGGCCTGAGAACAGCAAATCAAGTGCTGTGTCTCTACGTTCATTTCTAGGTGGCCACGAGGTCACAGATGGAACTGTTGTAGCAGAGTAGAGCCGTGTGAACTTGAATCCTGCAGGTAAATTGGGTGCTTAGATAATGTCGTGTTCTTAAATGTATCTGGTGTAGCCTGGTGAGGTGTCATCGCGAAGAAAGGTGAAATATTTAAAAGAAGAGAATTCTGAGTGTCTGTAATTATTTCTTCTTCCATTCATGAACCCGCCAGCGTCAGAACAAATGTTGCGTCTAGGTGTCCGAGGGAACGGGGCGTATATTGGTCAATGGCCTGTTGTAGCGTAGTTCAATCAGTTTCATATTCCACGTTTTACTGATGTCAGATTTATTTTCCTTTTTCTCTCCTACACAGATAGTAGCGGGCAAGTCGCCTTTACAAGCTGTTGGAAATACTGAGCATATAATGTTCTACGTACATTAGAGAATAAGATGGTCCGGATGCCTATAGTTTAGTGTGTGAGTCCAGCTGCTAGCATTTTCCTTTCTCTTCTTTTCCCTAGCATTACTATCTTTTGAAAAAGCTCAGTCCTATCGTAGTCACACATGTTTCGTTTGTATAGTGTGACACTTGCGGGACGTCTCTCGGTTAGCCAGTGTTCTGGGTGGTGATAAATCTCAGCGTCGCGGACAAAACGCCCACTGACCTTCGCATCCGTGGTTCATGTTTCTGTATCATCGGCACATTTCCGCTCAAAAAATGTTTGAGAATGATTAAAAAAAAACCCCACATTTGCATGCAATCATGACATCTAATTGCGTGAAACACTATTTCACGGCACGTTCAACGGAATAACGATCACATCGATAGTAAAAACGTCGCTAGTTCACATGCACAATTAGAATAAAAAATCAAAATAGTAAGAGCTAGGAAAAACACGTCCTCTCAGTAGGGATTCGGCAATAATATCATTAAAAAAAATTAATAATAATAAATATGTTAACTTCACACAGTTTGATGACGACGAGACGACAAGATGATGGAAATGTTTCTATAATTTGTCCTTACTGTCTGTATTTACTATTTAATAGAATATGGGGAGAGGTCTCTTGAACCTGAGGATTTATGGCCACGTGGCTGGAGCAGGGGTACACGTGGTGGGAGAGCTGGCGAGAGGCCGATTTTCTTTCAGGGAAACGTTGATAAGGGCGACGTTCTGTAAAAGACCTGCTACATGATGATGGTTAGAACAGTCGCCACGCACTGTGCAGCTTAGGGTGTTCTCCTCCTCCCCGCCCCCCCCCCCCCACACACACACACACAAAAACGTTTCCATTACATTACCGAGAATTCAAACCTGGGTCTTCTGCACGTTGTCTACCCTCCAGTTACATCAGCGTTGATGTTCTATACTACACGGCGACACAGCTTTTAACGAACCCAGAACATTTAGAACTGGCCCTAACCCTAAATCTCACCCCTACTCTCGACCTAGGTCACACTAGAGACTGTTTTCAAAGAAAGCAATACAACATGACGCTCCTCTGACATAGATCAGACTAATAAAGTGTGTAGATGGGCCGGGCAAATGGAAACTGAACAATGAAGATAGACTAGAAAGACCATCATTATAAATAGGGTGACCCTACGTCCCCAGGACATGTTACAGTACACCTAGCAATAGGTGTTTCGTCCTTTTTAGGACGAAATTTTTTTTTATTTAAAGCTCCACCCTGGCTTTTGCCAGGGGCCGCAATATAGACAGGCCATAGATATGGCCAATTGTCTGAACGCGGTTTCCGGGACCTCTCCACGGCGATCCTCATCCACATGGTGGCACTTTGTGTCTTCGGGTGTTTATCGCTTGTGTGATGTCCTGGTGGGGTAGAAAGTCAGTCAGTCAGTTCCCAGGACAGTTCCGTTTTTCTGGCGTGTCCCATCGATACTCGAAAAAAAATGTCAGTTCTGTTTTATAAAAAGCTGACAATTTGCTTATTTCTTGATGACAATAGTTCTGGTTTTAATACTCGTCCAGTAAAATAGTTCGGCGGGGTCTGCCCGGGTTTTGCTTGGGGGGGGGGGGGGGGGGGAAGTGGTGTTGATGTGACTTGCTTGGGATGTTCCGTTTTAACTAGCAGGCAGAAGAATGACTATTTGGTGGTGAACTGAAGTATGACAAGCTAGATGTTGTCAGAGCCCTTTTGGAGCGCGTGAACAATACAGAGGCACAAACAGATCATTACGGTCTGAGGAGAATGGCGGTGCCAGGAGTTACCAGGGGATCTGACCGACGCTCAACACTCAAATAAAAGTTGGGACAGTTACTGGTGCGATCGGAATTGGAACTCTTGGCTTGCTGCTGAAGATGGCGACGGAACGCTTATGGGAGTGTCCTGAGTTTTATGATGTTGATTCTTAATTCAATATTCCGTCCCGTTTCTAGGTCAAAATATGAGTGTGATGTCCCGTTTTTAGCTGTACGCTTGACAAGCTCTTTATCTGCACATACTGTTTCCTGTCCTCGTTGTCCTAGATCAGTGGCGGTCAACCTCCCTAATGCAGCGACCATTTAATACTGTTCCCACATGTTGTGGCGACACTTCCCCCCCCCCCTCACCGCAATTATTTTCTTCATAACTTCAATTATCGTCATTAGGTGCCTTGCCGACTGGCGTGGGCGATCACGCCTCTCCATAATCTGCGATCTCCTGCAGCATGTATCAGTTCGTGTGCCGACACATCGCCATGCCATGCAACAAGACTGTCAAGCATCTTCTCTCGTTGTCTTCCTCTATCTCTCCTTCCACATATCTTTCCAGTGGTCACAACATGTTATATTTTCCATCTTCTCATAACATGGCCGAAAAATGATGACAGTCTCTTTCTGATATCTGTGATAAGTTGTCTTCGGGCTCCCGCCTCTTTCAAAACCTCTTGGTTGCTCGTTTTGGCTGTCCAATGTATTCTAAGCATTCTTCTGTAAAACCACATCTCCGAGGCCTCCAGAAATTGTTTGGCCTGCCTGCCGATTGTCCAGGATTCACAGCCATATGTTAAAAATGGATGTATGTAGCATAAAGAATTCTTTTTCCAACTATAACTTCAATGGATATGTATTTTCTGATGATTTTAGGTGACCCCTGTGAAAGTTTTTTCGACCACCACAAAAAAAGGTCGCGACCGGCCGGTTTAGAACCGCTGTACTATATCCCTCCGGGCCAGCTTTGAGCTTCTAAGTCACCTCAAGTCTCACAAACAATCAACTACATTTTTTATGAGAGATGAAAGAAAGAATGGTTTTTATCACATGTTGATGAACGAAAACAAATTTAGTTCCGTAGTGTTGGTGCCCAGTGAGTATTTTGTCAAATCAAGAACGAAAACATCCGGTTTACACAACTTGAAGATTGTCGTGTGAGTGGTGTCAGTGTCTGTTGCGCATGGTTAGTTTCATCTGTGGTACATTTATTTACATTTAAATGAATAAATTAATTGTTGCTAATAGAAGATAAAAATTTCATGCTGAAAATTTACTGAATCAAAAGAATCGATGAATGGAGAAGAAGGCGAAGGCTAGAAATCATTTTTTTAATCAGAATCACTGAGACACAGACACAGTGACAGTTGACAGTTGTATATCCTTTTTAATTTTTAAATAATATTAAAATTAATAATTATGAAACTAGCATTCAAGTCTGTACGTCAGTTTTAAGCCGAGATTTTTATAAGATACCCATAGGACATCACACAAGCGATAATAAACACTATCTATGTGACACCATTATGAAACCAAGAAGTACGTAATGGGGGGGGGGGGGGGGGGGGGGTGATATCATATCAGATATGAACATGAAGTGCTATAAATATAAACAATAAAACGAAACGGAAAAAAAAACCATTACGTTTTATGTTGACCTTGGTTTTTTTATTAGCTCCTCTGTCTTTCCGTGGAGTTTTTCCATAGTTTGTCCGCATTTTACACACGATTGAGGCCCTGTTAGAGTATTAGTTTGGCCGCCATAATATGGGAACAAAGTTCGGAGGAGAATCCACATTTTTGAATTATAATTATATTATATTCAGCATTTCTTGCAATCAGCTTGACTAGCAGTCACCCCTTATTTATGTGATCATTATAAAATATAGGTCTAGCCCTATATGCCTGAAGGGGTGGAAAAGGGTCCTTTATTTACTGCTTGTTTATATTTCCTTTGACCTTGTTTTATGTCACTTGTAAATTTTCCAGTGCAAGTTTTCTGGACCCTCCAACGGTGGTGTAGATTACAACTTACAGCAATGGAAGAGGACACACATGTGCTCGTAAGTAAATGGAATCATTATATGAGTAAATAAAATGCTCATGTTATCTCAAGTTTAACATGGAAATGATGATAGATACCTGTTTAAACAATTGGATTCATACACTTCTTGACTCGGTCTTTAACCACCTTTACTAACCAGGACATTTTCTGGTACCCATTTTAGGCTGGGTCAACTTAGAAGCCAAGATCATTTTATAAAAACAATTCGTCGCTGTGTGGATTTGACCAAAGACCTTCAGGGAGGCAGGCAAGCATCTAGACTCCACTCTGGTACAATTCCTGTTAAATATAGTCAATGATAGTGTAAGGAAGGTAAAATAAGGACAATTAAAATGAAAAGTTATTGAACCTACAGCATTCTAATGTATACTGCCACATGAAGTGTAAAATAAGACCATTTGACAGGACTATTCAAAAAAGTTTATTTAGGAGTGTTTATAAAGGAGCCTGGATTTATGGGTCTAACAAAATGCAGGGGACCGTATTGAGTGGAGGGAGCACATCAGGAAGGGAATGAGAATTAAATAAGAAATGATTGCAAAAAGGATGAGTGCTGAGCGTCTGAGAAGAAACAGACTAAACACAAATGTTGACAACAACTTTCCTAAAATCTCATGCTATAATTGTGGAAGACTTCCTAATGTGGGCGAGTTTTTCTAGTCAAACTCGCCATCACCATGAGCTGTGAGTCCCATGCCTCCTCATAGCACAGAGTAATACTGTCGTCTGAAAAGACAGAAAGGTGCCAGTCAAAGAATTGTTTTTCTAGAATTGTTTGGAAAGATGAAAGGGTGCCAACAATAACAGCCACACAATTTCTTTTCCCCACCAGTTTCCAGAAAGTTCTAAAAATAATTTAGTCCTCATTAAATAAGATTGATCATATCCATGAGGTGTCTTACTTAATTAGAACCCATGAGGTGTTACGTTTAACACGGTGGTCGGTGACTAATGTTATACTTAACACAGTGGTCAGTGACTATTGTTACACTTAACACAGTGGTCAATTTCTGATATTACACTTAACACAGTGGTCAGTGGCTGATTTTACACTTAACACAATGGTCAGTGGCTGATGTTACACTTAACACAATGGTCAGTGACTGATGTTACACTTAACACAATGGTCAGTGACTGATATTACACTTAACACAGTGGTCAGTGACTAGTGTTACACTTAACACAGTGGTCAGTGACTGATAATACACTTAACACAGTGGTCAGTGACTAGTGTTACACTTAACACAATGGTCAGTGACTGATATTACACTTAACACAGTGGTCAGTGACTAGTGTTACACTTAACACAATGGTCAGTGACTGATATTACACTTAACACAGTGGTCAGTGACTAGTGTTACACTTAACATAATGGTCAGTGACTGATATAACACTTAACACAGTGGTCAGTGACTAGTGTTACACTTAACACAGTGGTCAGTGGCTGATGTTACACTTAACACAATGGTCAGTGACTGATATTACACTTAACACAATGGTCAGTGACTGATGTTACACTTAACACAATGGTCAGTGACTGATATTACACTTAACACAATGGTCAGTGACTAGTGTTACACTTAACACAATGGTCAGTGGCTGATGTTACACTTAACACAATGGTCAGTGTCTGATGTTACACTTAACACAGTGGTCAGTGGCTGATATTACACTTAACACAGTGGTCAGTGACTAGTGTTACACTTAACACAGTGGTCAGTGGCTGATGTTACACTTAACACAATGATCAGTGACTGATATTACACTTAACACAGTGGTCAGTGACTAGTGTTACACTTAACACAATGGTCAGTGGTTGATGCTGTTTAAAATTTGTGACAGCTGAGTTTTTAATACGTGCAACATGAACTTTAGTCCTCTTATTTTTTCAATACTGATATTGGATGTCCCTTTTTTTTTAAATTTTAAAATTAAGTATGGTGCACTTTTCAGTTAATTAACGTAATTTGGTACGTAGAGCACGGGGTAGACCAAGAACAAGGTGGAAGGATAACATCAGAGAAACTCTACAACAGCACGATGTGCCTATGGTCGAGGCAGCCAGAAGAGCTAGAAACAGAACCTTATATCTGCCTCGACACCCACAGCAGTAAAAGAGGAAGTGAAGAAGAAGAAGAATGTAATTTGGTAAAAATTAATTGTGCTGTTTTATTTTAATTTCAGGATGACATTAGAGAGGGTAAGTAGTTTTGTGTTTTCTCTACATTGAAGATCATAGTCGTCTTGCCATGACAAGATTAAATATATTCTAGAAAAGCTAGGCCATCAAACTTCCCTGTTCTCTGAATGGGTTCCAAAGCACCATTATGGGGTGGGGGGCACACAGACCACTATCCCCCTATCAATCATGCTGTAAAATATGACTAATTAGAGGTTTAATGAAATTGGATGTATTGGTCCTCATGGTGCAGATATGGCAACCTAGGTGTACACCACAACATAATGTACCAATCCTCCTAAGAATGAATGCTGAAGAAAAAAGTTCCCCCATAAATATCAAATGATACAGATCTCTAATGGTGGATTTCTTCTTCTTAGCTTTCACTGGCAGAAAGTTCTGGAAGTTCGTCCACTTCTGGGCTTTGGTCTTTTCCCCAGAACTTGGGTTTTGCATACAGATACTGTTTACAAATATGTACACAGACTGTTGGACATTGCTCCCCATGCAGAAACAGTTTGACTTTAAAGGAAATACACCTAATTAGTCTTGCTTTTACGTCAAGCTTGTTGGGGGGGGGGGAGCAGTAAGTTTACTCTGTTTTTTCCCCCACCCCCCCCCCCCCCCCCCCCCCCCCCCGCTTAAATGGTGGCCCGGAACCCACACAGGGATTATCTGGATAAGATTAGCTGGACGCTTGCTGCGGGCACAGAGAACGGGATAAAAAGCTTTTGGTCTCATGGTTCAAAGGTTATAGGATTAATATCAAACATTCACTGTATGGTTGTTTTTTTTGGGGGGGGGGGGGGGAGGGGAGAATAGACCCATTACCCTTTACAGACATGACATGAAAGACATTACCCTTTACAGGTATTACCCTTTACAGACATGACATGAAAGGCATTACCTTTTACAGGCATTACCCTTTACAGGTATTACCCTTTACAGACATGACATGAAAGACATTACCCTTTACAGGTATTACCCTTTACAGACATGACATGAAAGGCATTACCTTTTACAGGCATTACCCTTTACAGGCATTACCCTTTACAGACATGACATGAAAGACATTACCCTTTACAGGTATTACCCTTTACAGACATGACATGAAAGGCATTACCTTTTACAGGCATTACCCTTTACAGGCATTACCCTTTACAGGTATTACCCTTTACAGACATGACATGAAAGACATTACCCTTTACAGGTATTACCCTTTACAGACATGACATGAAAGACATTACCCTTTACAGGTATTACCCGCCCGGCTCTCTAGCGGAATTGGCTAAACCGGATTTCGCGGAGACCGGGTGACGTACTCCTTGTGGTCCGGGTTCAATCCCGGGGGTAGGCAGGAAAGCCACATTTTCTCCCAGATTTACGGTATTTACAATGGAATCAAGGCCGAAAGGTTGCGATATCCATAATACCGAGCCTAAGGGTTAACAACTCATGGCTTCTGGATACTAAAACAAACAAACAAACAGGTATTACCCTTTACAGACATGACATGAAAGACATTACCCTTTACAGGCATGACATGAAAGACATTATACCCTTTACAGGCATGGCATGAAAGGCAACTAATTAAGGATTTGCTGAAATTGGATATTTTGGGCTCAAAGGCAGAGATATCACAGAATAGCCATCTTTTTAGATGAACACAGAAGAAGAAGTTGAGCTGTCTGATTTGAACGGATGTCTGGGTGGAATGATAACATAAAGGCTTTTAACAAGTGACAATTTGTTAATCTTGTTCACCACTTGTAATTCTGGTGGAAAGTTCTGGTTGATCATCCACTTCAGCTTTGTTCTAGAACCTGAGTTTTGTGGGAACATCCATTTTACAGATCTAGATTTTACATATGCAGAGTGTTAGTTGCTGGCCTCTCAGGCAGATGCACTCCGTCTTCAGAGGAAACCAGCATTAGTCGACTGTTAGGACATGCTTGTTGGTGAGGCAGTGGGTCTATTCTTGTTTTTTTTTTTAACATTGGGGCCCCAAAACCTACACCAGGAAAAGCTTACATATTATAAGTTACATTTGTTAATTCACTTGTTGTTGTTGTTGCCTAAACATTGGCTGAAGTTTTGTGCTATGCATGAGTACTTGATAAAAAAAAGCTTTTTCTCAGAGAACTTTTATTTTGTTCAAAACTGTTAGGAGTTACAGCATGTACATATCTTATATGTTAATGTTTGTGGGATTTTACTTTATTTATTAATGTTCTTATTTTGATATTTGTTTTATATTTTATAGAAATGTCCCACTTACCACTGAGTGAACTGATGACAATGCAAAACAAAATTGGCTTAAAAGCGTAAGTACCCCCTTTTTAATTGTCTTGTCTCAGCCCAGTTCACACTTTTACTTTTTCATTAAAACTGTCAGACATGCTTTTAATATCTCATTTACTTGTTTACACTGTAACTCTGTCTCTCACATCATCATCATCATCACCATCCTAGTAAGCCATTTTGTGTCATATAGGGCTCATATTTGAAAGAATTGGTTTTTTGTTTGTGTGTGTGACATCCTAATAAATTTAAGATCATGTCATTTGGCTTTTTGTGGCTAAGTCATCAGAACAATGTTTTCTTGGTCAAAGGGAAGGAAAGCAGTTATTTCTTTGAACTGATTACCTGCCTTCATATAAAAAAAAAAAAAGAAAAATCCCTTTTGTGCTCTACATAAGAAGAATCCATCTGCTGAACGACTTGGGGGCCACATTGAACGAACGAACGAACAAACTTTATTTTCAAAGGGTTACAAATTGGGCTCGCAGGCCCGTCTGACATTCGGCCCTTCTAAGCACTCATTTTCAGAGTACCAATGCCTGTTATCTAAAATATATGTGCACACACATTCCATACATACACACCTACACATGCATACATACACACACACACATACAATCACATGTACAGACACCCACAACCACACATTAACACTCACATGTAAACATACATACACACATCAATACAAACACCTACATCTTCACACACATACATACATACATACCTAAATACACACAAATACACCCACATCAGTATCTAGCAGGCTTGTCTGTCTACTCAGTGGTTTCATCTTCCTGGATAAAAAAAAAATAAAAACTGACCCAGACTCCGAATTAATTTTGCTTCTTCTTCTTCTCTTCCTCTGTTTCTTCGGGTAGAGTTTCGTGGAACTATAGTGATTCGTAGTTCTGAAAAGGGTACTCTTTAAAGATTTTTTACAAGGTGAAAGGGTTAAACAACAATACTTATTGGATGGATGTTTTTTCTGAATGAAATATTCCATGTTTGTTACTAACTTCAGTTTCTATTGATTCCCACATATTTCCTGCTGCTGACAAAGTTTCTGGTGCATTTTGCTCTTTATTTCATCTATCCAGAGCAACCTGTTATTGTAGTTCTTAGACCCCCAGGGAAGCTTTGGCCCTCATTCAAATTATTCATCAATTAGTGAGCATTTTTAGACACATTCATTGTTGGTTAACTTTTCCGTCTAAAGTTTTTTATATTTTTTAAACAGGGTGGAACAACCAACTCTAGCCCTAATGATCTCTTATGGAATGCTTGGTAGGATCTTTTTTCCTGTCTTTTATCTGTAATGAAGCATAGGTCCACTGCCAACTGGTATCATGCTGTATTTACTTGTTCAAGCCAGCATGAGAACAGACGAGGCTTTGTTTTCCCAGCCCATACAATTAATTTCCTACAGTAACTCACAAAAAAAGATTCTTCTTAAAGAGTGTGGCATAGGTAGTCATGCCTATCCACATCCTTCTGTCTTGAGTGCTTTCAGTCAACTCTGACACAGATGGTCCTCCATGCCATGATGTAGCTGTCCAGTATGTTTTCTTGAGGTCTCCTACAGCTTTCCCACTGTCACGATGTACTCCTGTTGTCTCCTTATCACATGACCAGAGAAAGATTAAATTGGAAGAATGCAGGAAAGATTATAAAATGAGAGGAGTATGGTGCTATAGCAGACATAGCCTGAGAAGAGGCGAGCAGGGATTCACCAGAGTTGAACTGAAAGGGGAATTAGATGGATCGCAGGTATACACCGGCACAGTCAGACCAACTCTCGAATACGCATCATCGTCATGGATAACAGCAGCCCATTCCAATAAACAGATACTAGACAAAACGCAAAATAGAAGTCTGCGTACAATTCTGGGAGCCATAAAATCTACACCTATTGTAGAAATGGAAAAGGCAGCCAACATCATCCCCTTAGAAGAAAGAAGAAGGACAAAAGCAATTCTACATGCTTAAACCACCCATTACACGAAAAATTGGCAGCCAGGACAAAAAACAGAATAAAGCGCACAAGCCTAAACCATCTAACGAAGGAATTTGGAAAGTCATTCTCTTCACTACTTAACCAACAATGTACACCTGAAGAGCTATCTTTCGATCTCTGGGACTCCAAATTATTGACACTCAATGTGTCAACATCCATCCCGAACCTGGGAAACAAAGATGCTGAGCCCGCTTTAGTGAAGAAAGCACTCACAATAGAACACCTCAACAACATGTTCCCACAGGACAGCTGGACAAGAATCTACACGGATGGATCAGCAAAAGAAGCAACTACGAATGGTGGGGGCAGGTGTCTACATAAACACCCAGATGCCACTACTGTGTCCCTAGCAGCCCCACCGGACGTACTTGCTCTAACTACAAGGCAGAACTCTCAGCTCTATTGATGGCAGCACAGTATATGAACAATCTGCAAATCACCGCAGGCAGGATAGTTTTTCTCACTGACTCACTGTCAGCTGTACAGGCCCTTGAGTCCAAACCTACCGACAGCACACTACAAAGTATAACACAGGAACTTGCTATGTTGTCAAATAAGGCAGAAATTCACTTGCAGTGGATTCCGTCTCACTGTGGCATCAAAGGCAATGAAAGCGCAGATGCTTTAGCCAAGGAAGGCAGTAACAAACTACAGACCTACCAGCCACTATCTTTTCCAGAAGTCAAAACTCTCATTAAGAGAAAATCAGAAACAGACTGGAAAAAACAACACTGGTTATGACTACGGGAAAAGATTTTCTGAGGCACTTGAACAGAACAGACCAAGTCACAGTTTTTCGCTTACGCACTGGACACTGCAGACTCAATAAACATTCATATAAATTAGGTATGAGCCAAACAGCTCTCTGCCAGTGTCTTCGTGCTGAACAGACTCCAGAACATGTCCTGCAAGACTGTCCTCTCCTGGCGGAGCTGCGGAGCGACATATGGCAACACCCAGTAGAACTGACAACTAAGCTTTGGGGAAACCTAAGAGACCTTGAAAAGACATCCCAGTTTATGACCCACAGTGGATTATGCGCATGACCAGAGATCGCTGAAGAAGAAGAAGATGGATCGGGGAAATATAGTCATCCAAGAGAAACCCTGAAATAAATGTTACAGAGGAAGCCAAAGTTGCTGAACTGAATTTCATCCATGATATGGAATGGATTAAAGCAGATAAGAGGATTGGACAGCGAGCCCCACATGATGTTTCCAACAGCACTGCTTGGTTATGATGATAGTTAGTTTGACTTTTGTACGAGAATTTTTTTATGGAATGGGGTGACCAACAGTCCCTCTTATGACATGCTTGGTTGGGTGCTGTGTTACTGTTGCTTGCTTCCCCTAAAAGTGCTGATAACACATAGGTAGCTAAGGCAGCTATTGTATGCTGTATCCTAATTGTAAATTTATCAGAAGCTTTTTTTTAAAAAAAAAATTGATTAAACAAATTTGTAATCCTAATATAAACGCGGAAGTATAAATTTTAAAATTTTTGTTTGTTTGATTCGTGATTCCGAATCCTTCTCAGGTTCAGAAAAATCAAGTATGGTCTCGTTGGCAAGGCAACAACAAAGAATAATTTCAAAAGAGAAAACAAAAACAGGTAAGTTATCTAAACATATCTATGAAATGTGTGTGTGGTGCTTCATTTTGTTGTGCGTTTATGGTTGTGGACTGGTTGCAAATGTTCCTGTTGGTCTTCTTCTGCTTCTTCTGCTTCAGCCACTAAGGTTGGGTTGAGGTAAGGACCGACAACGCAGCACTTGGGGCATTCCCATTAGTGCTCATCCCTTTCTTTAGCAGCCAGCGCAGTTCTGAATCTGATGGTGCCAGTAGCAGTTTGATTATATTTCATCTCCCCTTTTCTGTAAGTGTTGAGTGTTGGCCGGATCCCCTAGTCATCTCCCCTTTTCTGTAAGTGTTGAGTGTTGGCCGGATCCCCTAGTCATCTCCCCTTTTCTGTAAGTGTTGAGTGTTTGCCGGATCCCCTAGTCATCTCCCCTTTTCAAGTGTTGAGTGTTGGCCGGATCCCCTAGTCATCTCCCCTTTCCGTTAAGTGTTGGCCGGATCCCCTGGTCATCTCCCCTTTTCTGTAAGTGTTGAGTGTTGGCCGGATCCCCTAGACATCTCCCCTTTCCGTTAAGTGTTGGTCGGATCTCCTGGTCATCTCCCCTTTCCTTTAAGTGTTAAGTGTTGGCCTGATCCCCTGGACATCTCCCCTTTTCTCTAAGTGTTGTTGGCCTGATTCCCTGGACATCTCCCCACCCAACCATTCTCTCCAGACCATAATGATCTGTTTGTGCCTCTGCATGGCTCCCAGAGGGCCTTGGCCACATCTAGCTTGTCATGCCCCAATATTTAGCCTGTAATACACCAGGAGAAACATCAGAAGAGGTGTCTGATAACATAGAGTAGCTGCCCCATCCAGTTTAAAACACCGACAACTAAATCTTGCTGTAAATTTGTCTTCATCAAAGAAGCTAAAACAATAAATTCATACTGTCTTTTTCCTGGAATCTACAGTTGAGCATAGGCAGTCTGCCCGTCTGTCCTATCATTTGCTATCACAGGCACCTCACCCAATCATTCTCCCCATCTTTCTCACTTCACTAATTCCCTTGTCCATATGCCCCCCCCCCCCCCCTCCCTTTGACCGTATGAGTTCCAGTGCAGGGACATTCAAGTTGTATTGTTATCAGATTTGTTCAACATTTGTTTCCTATCCAATGCCAGTGTCTTTTTCTCAGCAATTGATTCACTGGAATTTGTTCAGTTTGAAACCAAAGATCTACACTGATAATTTTCTCATACCATATTAGGTTTTTAAATTTAAATCAGGTTTGGTGGCAATTTTGTTTTACAGGAGTGCAAATTCTGCCACCAACTTTGTATGATGTTGCGAGGAAGTGCCGTAGTCTTTATTTTTTCTTTCTTTCTTTTTGAATGCACATGTTAAACTGTTTATTCTTCTTTCCTTCTTTCTTTTTTGTTTCTGTTCACCGGCTGTGAATTCCTATGGAAAGTCCTGGTAGTTCGTCTGTTTGGCTTTGTGTTAGCACCTGAGTTTTGTGTATGCATCCACTTTACTGGCTTATTTCTGTGCATTTCTTGTTCCCTACCTCTAAGGCAAATGCACTCTGCTTCAAAGGAAGATGTTGATCCTGTGTCTAGGATGACTGCAGCCATTGTTTCGTGGGACATGATGTTATCTCATTGGCGGGGTGTCCTCTTTGTCCCTTTATTTATATATGTTGCCTGGTCAGCCCTTGACAGAGACAGGCGCAGATCATGGGCATTCCCCGACATCCAAGGATACTTCCATAAATGCAGTGCTGACACGTGATGCTCTGGTCCTGAGCAGACCCAAGGAATCGTCCAATCCTGCACATGGCTGCTTAACTCCACAACCCTATGTTGAGCTTTCCCCTTGTCAGGGGCAGCACCCTAAGCTGTTTATTCAAGATCGGCCGGTTAAAGTGTACGAGTCATTAGTGAATGGTGTGCTTACCTAAAGAGAATACCTTGTGACGCTGAACGATACAAGGCATACACCAAAGGAGGAAAAGGCAGACCAAAATCAATATGGAAAGATAACATCAGAGAAACCCTTTATCAGTTTCTAATGTTGTAACAGGCAGAAGATTAATAATCAGACTCATATGTCTGTTAATGCCCAGAGTGATAGAAGGGGAGGTGGAGAAGAAATTGTCAGTGAACTCATTTAAAGAATAAGCTTTAAAGTTGTGCCATTAGATATATCACTTGAGGCTCGAATAAGCCTAAAGAATAAACTGCGTACAAACTATCAGTAGTTTAGGGAACGAGTCTTGATCTAGGCATCAAAGTATCAATGAACTCATATTACGTTATCATAATCGACGTCTTTACACATTTGGCATTCCCATGCGTGCTCAGTCCTCGGATGCAGCAGGTAAACCACTACTCCTCTACTGATTGTTCCCATAAAGAGTTGGTCGAATTGTAGTATCTCCTGTCTTTGCATCAAAGACAGCATAGACGTGCTTCACCAAGCTTAAATCCTCGGTCACACAGTTGTGTTAGCGTCAGAGGTTCACCATTATCCCCCAACCTGTTCCCTACAACTTTGATATCAGCTCTGTCCATGCTTCTTTCCATTTGCATTGGTGCATTACTTGCTAGCTGGTCAGCTCTTTCATTACCGTTTACTCCTGCATGCCCAGATGTGTAGATCCACATGATTATGTTAACTGCGACTTCCGAATGCTTTCTACCCATTCAGAGCATGACTCCCTGTAACAATTTTCTGAAGCATGTTCATGGAGTCTGAAACAATTACCGCATGTTTGGCCCCTTGTTCTGCTACCCATGCCAGTGCTCTGGAAGCAGCAGTTATCTCTATAGGCATGCTTGACGTAGTTGTCTGGTAAGCGCTGATGTCCTCTTTTATTGTTTTCCTCCATCCTTGTGCTGTGAATGCCCATGTGTTTAGCGGACCCATCTGCATAAATGACGACGTCTCCTGGGTGTGAACACTGATCAGTCAGTGGTCTAATCTCAGCGTCTATGGTGACAGGTATCTGACTCCTGCAGTACCTCCCCAGTGTTATGACAACATTAGACAAGTCATGCATGTCTACTATGTCCATATCCATTATCAGTCTGATGAGCATGTTGTATGGCATGCTATTGTACGTGTCTTCTATGCCAGTCGCGGCAGTTTCCATTCCTGCCTGGAAGCCCTCATATGTGTCATAAGCAAATACTGCAGCATTGCACCAGGTATCTCTGCCTGAGTGGTGCCCACCTACTGTAGGTGCCAAAAGACAACTTGACTCTAATTTTTGGGTCAGCAGTCTTGTCACAATTTTTCCATGAGTTTTCCCACGGTGTTCTGAAGTATGATGATTGTATAGCCGTTTACTTTTTGTGATCTCTCCCAGGCTTAGGAATTGGTGTTAGGTAAATGTGGAGCCAGTCATCGGGATCAGTGCCGTTCTTGATGCTCTTGTTAAATGCTTTAGGTAGTTCCATTGTGTGTGTTTCCTCACTGCATTTTAGGTCACTGTATCTTGTGCCATCGAGCCCTGGGGCTGTGTTGGGACAGGTCTTCGGTATCAATGAACTATTTAGGAAACATTCACCGAACTAGTTTAAGGAACATGTGTCATTAACTAGTTGAGAGAACAAAGAAACATCACCAAGACATCATTTACACAGAAGAGAAATAGCGCATCATTAGCTTATGTAAACAAACAAAAACAGCATCATAGAAGGTTGTTTAGAAGTGTCACTTCACCAAGTTTCTTGACACAGGCAACTGTCAGTCCTTATAAACCATGGAGTTGTGTCGTAGCTTTTAGGAACAGCCTCCAGTGTAGGAGTGGCAGTCTCTGGCTACATAGTTCACATAAAAACATTGGTGTTTTATTGTACTAAGGCTGGTTTTAGGAACAGCCTCTAGTGTAGGAGTGGCGGTCTCTGGCTACATAGTTCACATAAAAACATTGGTGTTTTATTGTACTAAGGCTGGTTTTAGGAACAGCCTCCAGTGTAGCAGTGGCGGTCTCTGGCTACATAGTTCACATAAAAACATTGGTGTTTTATTGTACTAAGGCTGGTTTTAGGAACAGCCTCCAGTGTAGCAGTGGCGGTCTCTGGCTACATAGTTCACATAAAAACATTGGTGTTTTATTGTACTAAGGCTGGTTTTAGGAACAGCCTCTAGTGTAGGAGTGGCGGTCTCTGGCTACATAGTCCACATAAAAATATTGATGTTTTATTATACTGAGTCTGGTTTTCTCTCTATTGCTTGCTGCATTTAGCTTCATGCAAACTGACAGTCTTTCTTTTACTGTCTACTTCCATAGGAGTCAGTCCGCAGCCGATCTCTTCCAAATATCTGGTCAATGTTGGTATCTTTCAGGTCGCGTATGCATATGTCATTACACGTACATATTTTAAACTGCACAAGTTTTAGAGTAAAACATGTTTTCTTTTTCTAGGCCCTCGGAACTGTCAGCGAGACGACCAGTACCGAAAAATACTGTCTGTCCCAAGACAAAGGTAAAATATTTGCGTACACCAAAGGAAAGATCACTGGTGTCAGCGGTTATAAGACTAAGGAGGTGGTGCTATGTTGGGTGAAGGTAGTGCTATGTTGGACGAAGGTAGCTCAGTGTTGGGTGAAGGTAGTGCTATGTTGGACGAAGGTAGCGCAGTGTTGAGTGAAAGTAGTGCTATGTTGGGTGAAGGTAGTGCAGTGTTGGGGGAAGGTAGCTGTGTTTAGCGAAAGTGGGGCTAGACCTATGTTTCAGACCAGTCATTACTCAGTGAGATATATGGTTGCCACCACACAGTCACTGTTACTTCCCAGGACTTCACCTGCTACCCATTTAAAGCCAGATCGACTTGGGAGCCGAGGTTGTTTTTGAAAAATGCCTGGCTTTGTTCGGATTTAAACTTACGACCTTCAGATCCACAGGTGAGCGTATAGCCGCTGCACCACACAGGCTCCTTGGGTCGTAGTAAAGTAAGTAAATAAGGGATCCTTTTTAATGGGAGCCTCCGTGGTGTAGTGACTAACCGCTCACCTGCAGATCTGAAGGTAGTGGATTCAGGTTCTAATGGCGCCAGACTTGTAAAAATCTAACTTTGGTTGCCAGGTCGACCCAACCTTAAAAAGTTTACCAGGAACAATCCAGGGAAGTAAAAGTGATTGGCATAGTACTGACCACATCATCCACCAAGTCCAGGGAAGTAAAAGTGATTGGCATAGTACTGACCACATCATTCACCAAGTCCAGGGAAGTAAAAGTGATTGGTGTAGTACTGACCACATCATCCATCAAGTCCAGGGAAGTAAAAGGGATTGGTGTAGTACTGACCACATCATCCACCAAGTCCAGGGAAGTAAAAGTGATTGGTGTAGTACTGACCACATCATCCACCAAGTCTAGGGAAGTAAAAGTGATTGGTGTAGTACTGACTACATCATCCACTGAGTGCTGATTAGTCTATAAAATATAAGTCTTCCTCACAGCCTCTTTTATCAGTTTGGGTGTCGAGGGAGATATAAGGTTCTGGTCGCCTCAGTCATGCTGTTCTAGAGTTGTTAGATCAGTTCATTTATCCCTCATTGTATTCTCTGAAGCAATATTAAATCCATTGCTGGCTTGCTATGCCTGTCGCAACTTCACCCGAGACCCATTGTCCTGGATGTTTATGGAGTGACCCGTGATGACCTGTATGGTTCTCAAAGTGGCACAAGGCGACACCATACTTTGCCCAATCCTAGTAATCTCATACTTTGTCCTGTTTAGCACCTCCTCTTCAAGACTGTCAAACCTCAGAAATATGTACTGACTTCTGTGACGAGAGCATGTTGAGCTGGAACCTAGCATATGGGAGCCGGAGAAGCAGATTGACTTTTTCCTGTCAGCTGAATGTGAACATACAACTGATTTCCCGAAAGCTCAGGAAAGCACAAAAAGGTTGTGAAAATTACCTGGCAGAAATCTGTCATGCATCAAGAATGCCGAGGGCAGAAGGTGTTGGAGACTCAATACCTCAGACCTCCAATGCAAGATAGTATCAAATGATAGTATCATACAATTGACCTAGAAGGAAGAAAGAGTTATGCAATATTGTTCACATTTTAAGAGATATAACACTCTTTAAATAAATTGTTACAAGGAAAGGGGTAGAGATCAAGGAGAGGTAGACAGCAGTACAGTTACATTTATGGCAAAAATATGATGAAAATCAATATGAGAAAGTCTACAATTCGCTGTGTTTTGTTCTCTGACTTTATTGGGGAAAGGGAAGGGGGGGGGGGAATAGACACACTGTCCCCCTATGCTTTAAAAGACAATAAATTAGGTGTGTTTCCTTTGAAGTCATAAGTGCATCTGCCTGAGAGGTGAGGAACAAACAGTCTGCATACAGATAAGCCAGATCTGTAAAAGGGATGTACATGCAAAACTCAAGTTCTGGAACAAGACCAAAGCCCAGAAGTGGACAAACAACCAGAACTTTCAGCCAGAGCTTACACATGATGGAGATGAGGAAGGAGAGATCTACAGTCAGGGTGAGAGACTGGGTATATTGGAAATCAATTGCAGGCAACTTCTGGGCTGGAGATGGCACCTGGTTGATTGAAAAACACGACCACATGGGACCTCAGATTCCAGAGTAAAATAGAAGATGCCACAAATTGAGTTCTTCTTCATTCAGTGCAATTTTTGTCGTGAAGGTCGACTCCAATGTGTCCCTTTGTAATCAGTCCTGAGTCTTCTTGTTGCAGTCACACAGTCCAGCCCATCTCTAAGTGTTGTCTGCCTTCATGTAACATTATATTGTCTCTTCTTTCTTTGCATTCACCAGCTGTAAACTTTGGAAAGTTCTGGTTGTTCGTCCACTTCTGGACTGCAGTCCTGTTCCAAGACCTGAGTGTTGCGTATGCATTCGTTTGACAGACCTGACAAATTTGTGTGCAGACTGTTGGTTCCTTGCCTCTCAGGCAGATGCACTCCGACCTCGAAGGAACATTATACTGTGTCTTGTTCATGTAGGCTTCTGTGGGAATGAGCAGGCTGATGAATTGGCTGGATTCGCCCCCACTTGGGGCCAGACAGGTGATCTCTCACCTGTGGTAACAGGTAACAAGTAAAATGGAAGATACTGAAAGCCTATACCAGTAGAGAATGATGCAATAAGGAATGTTTGCAGGTTCTGGGCACCACTCAAGAATTAGAGAAAAGGCAAGACGATTAGTTAACTAGATGACTTCAGGTACCGTCACCACATCACTATGGAGATTCTTCTCTGGCTGCTGAGGAGGGAGACGGAACTAATCTGGAATTTGTCTTAAAATAAAATAAGGTGTGTTTTTAAGGCATTTTCCCTGACATTTTGTTATTTTTATTTCAGGTGACCAGAGACCCGCGCTTTGATGATCTGTCAGGAGAATTTGATGAGAAAATTTTTAATCACACTTACAGTTTTCTGTCAGACGTAAAGAAAAAGGAAAAACTGGTAAGCTTAGATTTGCTTCTCGTCCCTCTGTTCTCTCTATCCTCTACAGTGCTAGCTAATCAGATAGTGTTATCTTATTTCATCATGATCATGTGCCTTTTCCCACAGGTCTTATATTCTAATATGTTAATGCTCCACATGGGGAGGGGATGGTGGTGTTTAACCCTTTCACCCCAGTGACCTAGAAAAGAAAATGGCCTGCAACCTTTTTTTTTAAACATTTTACACAGTTCACACAAAAATTCCGAACAGTTCTATTTTCTGACATAAACATTGTGCACTGATGAAATGGAATAATCAGTAGAAACAGTTGCAGCAGAGAATCAGCTCAGTTACATTTTTTGTGAAGTTAAATGAATTTAATAATGTGACCAATTTTGAATCCTGTGACAAGTTCGCTGAAGACCACTGTGACTAAAAATGAATCATGAAGTCATAATTTCTGGAAATAAAGCCAGTTTGTCTCAAGAAAACGCCCACAAATGCTGATTTTAGTAACTATAGCCATTTTTAGACCTATTTTAAACATTTGTGGCCGTGCAAACGGAGTGAGTGCTGTTAGTGAGGATTCTGGTAATCAAGTCACTAGAGCCAAACCAGTTAAGGAGCAGCATTTGCCGGAGTGCCAGTTTTGGTGCTTGTGAGGTGGGGGGGGGGGGGGGGGGGGGGGCTATTAGGGCTGTCAAAAATTGTCTTTTGATTTATTTTTGTGTTCTTTTCCCCACAAATCATTCCAGTTGTTACAACAAATGCCCTTTGCTCTGATTGGAAAACAGCAAGCAGCATATTTCTTCGGCAGCACTACATCTGGCAAGTGATGCTGTAAATCAAAGATTGAATAAATAAATTAAAAAAAAAAACATGCAACATACCAATGTATTTTGAAGAGGGGGGGGGGGGGGGGGTGGCACAAGGAATATCCTTGCATTTTACCAGGCATATCAAGTAATTGCTGTCCCAACTTCAAAGCAAACAGAATATTTCTCCATAGTTGCTCCGTTTGTGTGCCAATGAAAAACCATGCAGAAAGTCTGTTACTGTCCATTGTGAAAAAACGTTTAGACACAGACTGCAGTCACAGCAATGCCAGTAGCGCATACACATACATTAAATGCATAAGGCAGCCATCAGAATTGCCAAACAAACAGTCTGGCACTAGAAATGCAGTTTATTGTCTGTGGAAGCAGCAGTTACAAAAGATCAGTAGTTGTACATGCAATTTCATAAGGCACCACCAATTCTCTGGCAACAAGCCACTTGCCATTTTCTGTCTACAGCACATTGGGCACAGCTGAAAAGCTCAGTAGTTGACGGAGCTAAATCCATCCACAATACATTTGAAGTAAAATGCAATGGCTGACTACACTCAGAAGTTAAACCTTGGCATGACTAAAAACAGGAACACTGCCTATCCACCATATTGATGGGCATGACATAAAAGACAACTAAGGGTTGGGCTTGGGGTTAGCTAGCTCATCCCATAAGACAATCACAAAAACCTACCCACTATTAACAAGTTGAATTAAATGAATAAATAAAATGGGGAAAGGCATTTCTGCTAGATAAAGAGAACATTAGGTGAATTGCATGTGAAAACAAAGGATTGGATGAGCTGGTTGAAAGCCTATGCTCCATTGGGGGTTGAAGGGATAGACGAAGATGCAGTACAAGGATCTCACTATAACCAGCACTCTAGAAACATGTTAATTGTTTAGTTGTGTATCCTTTACAGGACATTGCAGAACCAGCCCCAGCAATTTTGTTTTGTTGTTGTGGTTTTTCTAGGTAAGTTTTTACTTTCAGTAATTTGCCATTGGTTACTGAACGGTTATCTCTTGGTACCACTGTCAAAACCAACGCAAGATGATCTGTCAGGAGAATTTGATGAGAAAATTTTTAATCACACTTACAGTTTTCTGTCAGACGTAAAGAAAAAGGAAAAACTGGTAAGCTTAGATTTGCTTCTTGCCCCTCTGTTCTCTCTATCCTCTACAGTGCAGCTGGGATCGAACCCGGCATTATGAAGCGCGTCCGCAATGCCTAAGCCATGGACACCGACATGTAAATAGTACGGGTGAATAAAGCCAAGTTGAAAGCAAGAAGTGACTGAACAGTGCAACAAATTAAAAGGAAAAGTTGTGCTGAACACAACCATTTGTTTTGACTAGTCTTTATCAACAAATAAAACAACATGAATCATAAACAAAAACGAACGAAAAAGGTCACAGAATGCAAATGTGAAAACTAAGGACAGAAAGTGCCCTTGCAAGCAAATAATGAATGAAGGACTTCTTGTGCATTAGCCCTTATAAGGGCAGTTGACACGTGTTGTGGATTACAGCTTGGCTGCATGATCTTAGCAATTCAGTCCAGCACATCCGACTTCAGCAAACTCTTAATTAGTTATCTTGTAAAATTTGCTTGTTAGGTGAACCATGAACAGTTGATAGATTAGTGAACAATTATCTAGAAGCTGTGGAGATGTGGTTTTTATGGACACATGATGAGAATACCCTGATTGGATTTTTTTTTTAAAAGAGTAACGAAGACGTCTTGAAATAAACTGACTCACGGAGAGATATAATTGCCATCAGAAAGAGATGATCTACATTCTTTGGTCATGTGATGAGCAGGAGAAAACCAGTACATCGTGACAAAAGGAAAGTTGGAGGGGAAGAGAGGCAGAGGGAGACATAGAGAGAAGATGCCGGACAGTTTGACATCATGGCATGGAGATCATTTGTGTCAAGAGTTTATTGAAAGTACACGAGACAGAAGGTTGTGGATAGAAATGACTACCAACGCCACACGGCATGGACTTTATTGAAGAAGGTGACAGTAAGTCTGCTCTTTTCACCCAAAATGGGGTATTAGAACAAACATGGAAGACCAAATGGGTTAAAAGCTCCCAGATTTTTTACATTTTATATTTTTGTGTTACACAGAAATTAGAGAAGATAATTAAGAAGACAACAGACAAACAGAAGAAGTCTGAACTGAAACAGCTCCACAACAGAATGGTAAGTTATTAAGTGCTGGATTTGTAGAAGATTCATCATCATCATCAAATAGCAGGTCCTTTGCATAACATCCCACTCATCACAACCTACCTGAAAGAAACTCGGTTTCTCGCCAGCTTTCATCTTCATGTTGGTCAACCACTGCCCCAATTTCCTAATAACATGGCGTCTGCTGTAACCCCCTCCCCCCTCCCCCACAGTGTGCTGTGGCACTCGATATGGCCAAAATATTTCAGTTTCAAAGACAAAAAGCTGTTTACTAGCCAATCTTCCTTGATGTTCAGATCTTTTAGGATGTTAGTGTTTCTTCTTTTTTGTCCCTCTGTTCGTGGTATTCTGAGAATCTTTCTTTAGCATTTCTGCTCAAGAGCCCCTACCCTGTTGGGAACATTTATGCTCTTAGTATTAAATGACAATAAATTGTTTAGATTGGGAAAATCCTTTGATAAGGTGACTGGTTTATAGATAAGTCAGTAATTTTCTCGTCTGTGGGAAAATCCTTTGACAAGGTGACTGGTTTCTAGATAAGTCAGTCATTTCCTCATCTGTGGAAAAATCCTTTGACAATGTGACTTGTCTTCTAGATGAAGTCAGTCATTTCCTCATCTGTGGGAAAATCCTTTGACAAGGTGACTTGTCTTCTAGATAAGTCAGTAATTTTCTCATCTGTTTGTCTTGGCCGCTACCTGGAGGTTTCTAACAGCTGTAATTGGTGAATACTTTTGTTAACACGAGTAAGTCTTGTCAGTCCCGCTCGCCATCACCATGGGCTATCTTCTTCTTTCTTCTTCTTTACGTTCACTGACTAAAAACTCAGGCGAAAAGTTTTGGTTGTTCGTCCTCTTCTGGACTATAGTCATGTTCCAGAAAGTGAGTGTTGCGTGCACATCCATTTCATAGGTCTGACTCATTTGCATGCGGACTGTTGTTTCCTTGCCTCTCAGACAGATGTACTCCAATTTCAAAGGAAGTTCCCAATTAGTTGACTCTTAGGACATGCTTGTTTGGGGAGGCAGTGGATCTGTTCTTGTTTTCCCCCCACAGTGGGTTCCTGCTATCAATAAAATGTAACATCATTGTCTGGAAAGTCGAAAAGAAGCAAACAACAGTAGTTACACAAGTACCAGCGTACAGGTGTTGGATCCTGTAGTCGTGAGCAGGTAAGGTCTTGTAATAAGTGTTTGCGCTGGGCCACGTTAAATTTTGCTTGGGACAAACTTCCACTGGAATTATATTCTCCTTTAAAATTGTTTCTATAAACAAAAAAAACACAAATTCCAATGTGGTGACTATAAAATTTAAAGTTAGTTGTGTATCCTCTTCAGGATGTCGTAAACTAAACCCAGTATTTATTGGTGTGGTTTTACCAAGCAGCGTTGTAATCAGTAGTTTGCCATTGCATTCTGTGCATAATGTTTTCAACATCAACACAAAGTGGTCTGCTGTGAAATTGCCTCCAGCAGACCTTTGAACCCTGGTATATCAGGGTTATGAAACTGCATTCACAGCTCCACTACCATGTACACCGACCACAATTTTTGTATATTGAAAGGCATATCGATCAGACAGGCGAACCATTTTCAATATTTCAGCTACAGTGACATCTGAGTGATGACAGGGCACAGAGATAAGAAGGGATCGCTGCATCTAAAGACTATTTTACTAGAATGAATAACCCCATGAAAAAGTGGGATATCAAGACAGGTGCACAAAACTGCTGAATGAAATGGATAGTTGTGGGTAAGTGGCTTGATCCTCTATGTGTTTGGGAAAGCTGGACGATGAAGTTTGAAGGGGTGATACAACGAGAAAATGGAAATGTAGCTTTTGAGAATTGTGTTGAGGCTATCGTGAACCAGGATGAAATATGTCTGAAATAAATACTTTAACCCCCTCCCTGTGTTTTACAAAGAGCATTCACCTTCGATTTATCAAAACTCTTATATTTGATTGATATTATTGTTTTAAACTTTAGGAGCAACAGGAACTTGCAGCAAAGAGAAAAGAAAAACAGCAACAGTTGGAGAAAGAGTGGAAACAGAAGGAGCGTGAACAAGTTATGGCCGGAAAGAAACCATTCTTCCTAAAGAAAGGTAAATTTGGGTGCATAAATATTTTTGAAAAGACTAGTTCACTTATGGGCGCTTGGATTTCCTGGCTTTGAAGAAAATGAGCTTATGTGATAATGAGGTGAAGTAAAGAAGACAAGTAATGCTTGCAAACGCACTAGACAATGTACAGATTTGAAGCTATAGGCACACTGCCACTTCCAAGTAATGACAACACCACACCGAAGAACAGGTGTACTTCATAAATCTCTGTCTCTTTTTCTCTCTCAGCGAAACAAAAGATTCAAAATCTTCAGCAGTTTTATTGTGAGCTGTGACAGGCGTGGTTTCTCTTTGTGAAAATGTGTCAGATGGAGGGGAACTCATTCTGAAAAATCACTAGGATTTGACTTCTTGTGACAAAACTGCTTCCATTTAGTTTCTAGGGATATATAATGTAGTAGTGCATCGAGGGGAACTGGCTCATAAACAGCATCCTATCCCGAAATCTGAGGTGTTTTGGCCACATTAAATGTCATGGTGAATGGGAGAGAACAGTGATGGGGGGTAGTTTACTGAAAATGAGGCAGAGGCTGACCTCCAAGACTGTAGATAGAAGACATTAAAGATAAACTGGCTATGAAAGCACATAGGGCTGGTGAATTGGCTAAAGACTGTCAGGCATGCCATGACAAGAGCAGCATTCTGTAAAGGTCCTGTTGATTGGTGATGATGGCTTAATAGACTACAGTCCTATAATACACACCGCATACAAAGAACAGTTGACGGGTGTGCACCTGTTGCTTAATACAGAGTTAGATGACTTCTGTCACCATCGTGTAGCAGGTCTTTTGCAGAGTATCACTCTCATCAGGGTCTGCCTGAATGCTCTCCCACTATAAGAACTTTCCTAGCCAAGGTGTCACTTATATCCTCTGTCCATCTTCCTCTTGGTTGGTCCGTGCTTCTGTTTCCTGGTACCATGCCTTCTGCTGTTATTTGTTCCAGTCTGCCAGAGTAAAGGTCCCTTTACCCCGCCTTTGGTCGTATTGGGAATAGAGGGCTAGACCTATATTATTATAGACTAATCGGCACTTGGTGGGTGATGATGTCAGCATCACACCGGCTGCCTTTACTTCCCAGGACTGCACCTGGTACCCACTCAAGGCTGGGTCGACCTGGGAGTCAAGATTATTTTTGAAAAAGTCCGGCTCCGTCAGGGCGCAAATCCACAACCTTCCAATCCGCAGGCTGGCGTCTAGCCGCCAGCGCCATGGCGACTCCCGTAGTGCTTGATATGGCCAGAGTATTTCAACATCTTGAGACAAGATGCTGTTTACTGGCCAGTCTTGCCTGATGTTCCGATTTTTGAGGGAATCAGTTTTATTCCTTCTATCTTTTTTTTCTTCACTTCCTCTTTTACCGCTGTGGGTGTTGAGGGAGATATAAGGTTCTGTTTCTGGCTCTTCTGGCCACCTCGATCATAGGCACATCGTGCTGTTGTAGAGCTTCTCTTATGTTATCCTTCCATCTTGTTCTTGGTCTACCTCTTGCTCTACGACCTTCTTCTCTTTCCATGTATGCTTTGTATGGTATGGTGTCACAAGGCATTCTCTCTATTCCTTCTTTGTCCACTATATACTGAGAACTGTCATCAGTTTCTTAGGGAAATAATAATATGGTAGTTTCAATCTTTCACCAATGTTTTGATTAATTTTTACCCTAGAAGTGACCTATAAGGTACTGTGCCCAGTGCTGTTTGCCAAGTATGGTTCTGTTCAATGCCCACCAGTGTTATGCTTATTTGTTTTTTTTCCTAACCAGTTGACCTCATTATATTAGTACAGAAAGTTTGTTCAGAATGGTTTGAGAGTGATACTGAAAGAAAACACAACAGAACAAGAAGACTGGCCAGTTTGTATGAAGGCCTAAACTATTCTTTCTGAGAAGCTGATGATTTGATGTTGAAGAGGACCAGGTATTCACTAAAAATAGGGGAAGTAGCCTCTCAGGCATTAGGACATCATAATTTGCCTTTTGCAATCAGTGGTTTGTGTGTGTATGGGAGGTAAATTGTATTTAACACTCCACTCTGTTTATACTTTATTGTTCATACGCATTTCTAAATAAATTCTTTAAAATGTGTATAAATAAAAAAATTGTTTTAAAATTAAATATTTTTAGTGGTCTGATTATTTCTTTTTTGGGACTCCTGTGTTCATGGAACGCGCTTCGTAATGCCGGGGTGCCAGGTTCGATCCTAGCTACGGACCTTGCGTTGGTTTCAACAGTGGTATCAAAAATCCGACTGACCAGAGAGCAATGGCTAACCACTGAACGTAAATTTGCCTAGAAAAACCCCACAAGAGCCAGGGGCTGTTGGGGTTGGTTCTGCCTATAAAAACCACAAGAGCCAAAAAATGCTGGGGTTGATTCTGCAATGTCCTGTAAAGGATATGCAACGAACTTAACTTGTCTTCATGGCCTTAAATCAATGGTTTCCCGGGTGAAATCATTAAACACGTACTACTACCACGGTGACACCTTTCTCCGTGCCTTCTGTATGCTTGTTGCAAATAGTGGTATGGTGTTCTTAGTACAGCACACAGACTCTAACCATTTCGCACGATTTTTGTTTTTCTCTCCTGCAGCTCAGAAACGTGCATTACTTGATGCTGAGTACCAGAAGGAACTAACTGAATCTGGAAAAATGCAGAAGTATTTGACTCGCAAGAGCAAGAAAATAGCCGCCAAGGAAAAGAGAAAGCAAGAATGGAGCACAAAAGATCTGTAATGGCCACATCCCATGTTAAATGTTTAATGGCAGTGTCTGTAATAAATATAAATAATTATTATCAGAACTGTATTGTTTGCTTCTGCTATTCATCATCATCATCATGTAGCGGCTCCTTTGCAGGACATCTCTTTCATCATGGCATGCAGGAAAGCATTGCAGCACCTGCCAAATGACCTTTTGCGCCGTGTCCTGTCCATTTCTATGCTGGTCAACTCCATATTTTTTACGCAAACCACAGACATTATAAAGGTTGGCCCGGGGAAAAAACATGGGCACGGGAACTAGAGCGTGACATTATAAAGGTTGGCCCGGGAAAAAAACATGGGGAAGGGAACTAGAGCGTGACATTATAAAGGTTGGCCCGGGGAAAAAACATGAGGAAGGGAACTAGAGCGTGAAGTTTAAAAGATGTGGGGTGAGCTGCGTGCAATAACAAACGATATGAGGACTTTGTGTGAGTTGGTTCAGGGCCTATGCTGCATTTGGGAGAAAAGAGCAGTAGAAGAAACCCTCCATTACTGTTCTCTCCAATCCAAAATGGCTGAAGTATTTCAGTTTACATGAAGAAATATTATCTTTGACCCAGTCCTTTCAATATTCAGATCATAAAGAATGTCAGTATTTGTCCTCTTCTTGGTTTATGAACTTGCCTTTGATGGAAGAAATTTAAGTTGAACAAAGACACTGGCTTATGAGTGTGACATTTTAATTGTCATAAGTGACTGTGTGTGATCGTGGCTGTGATCGTTGCAGCCCTGTCTTTTTCCTGCTGTCTTAAAATGCAGAAGGGGTGCATTGATCAAATCTTGACCAATCATGAAAGAGAAATCTAATTTCCAATCAATCATGGAAGATTGATCTGTTTCCAACCAACGATGGAACATAGATCTCATTTTCAATGATTGTGGAATATTGATCTTTTTTCCAACCAATCATGGAAGAGTAATGTCATTTCCAACCAAAGATGGAACATTGATCTCATTTTCAAAAATCATGGAGGTCTGATCTCATTTCCAACCAATCATGAAAGAGTAGTCCAGTGCAGCAGACATATAGGCATGTTGCCAGAGTGGATGATGCTTTCTCTTGCTCCAGATGACAGTCTCCACAACAGTGGCACTTGACATTTGTGAAGAGCAGGCTGTGTCAGACGGAGCAGGTTGTATCAGACAGAAGGTTGTATCAGATGGAGCAGGTTGTATTAGACTGTGAAGGTTGTATCAGACTGTGAAGGTTGTATGAGACTGTGAAGGTTGTATCAGACTGTGAAGGTTGTATCAGACTGAAGGTTGTATCAGACTGTGAAGGTTGTATCAGACTGTGAAGGTTGTATCAGACTGTGAAGGTTGTATCAGACTGTGAAGGTTGTATCAGACTGTGAAGGTTGTATGAGACTGTGAAGGTTGTATTAGACTGTGAAGGTTGTATCAGCCTGTGAAGGTTTTATCAGACTGTGAAGGTTTTATCAGATGGAGCAGGTTGTATGAGACTGTGAAGGTTGTATCAGACTGTGAAGGTTGTATCAGACTGTGAAGGTTGTATCAGACTGTGAAGGTTGTATCAGACTGTGAAGGTTGTATCAGACTGAGAAGGTTGTATCAGCCTGTGAAGGTTTTATCAGACTGTGAAGGTTTTATCAGATGGAGCAAGTTGTATGAGACTGAGAAGGTTGTATCAGACTGTGAAGGTTGTATGAGACTGAAGGTTGTATGAGACTGAGAAGGTTGTATCAGACTGAAGGTTGTTACAACCTGCTCTTTACAAATTTCAAGTGCTACAGTGATAGCAGACCATGGCGGAGGAAATATCATCATCTAGTTTCTTTCCTCTTCTTTTACTGAGCTGTTACTACTGTCTGTATTTACCTTATTGTTTTAATTTTCAAAGGACCCAGGGGGTTGGGGGGGTAAGGGTCCAGGAATCTGAGGATGGTAGGGCCGTATGGCTAGAGCCGTTGCCATAGACTGAAATTAGGATTTTCATTTTTGCTACCAACAGAAAAACTCCATCACCTTACCAGGGAGTTAAACTCTGGTCACTTGCATGAGAACCAGATATTGTAACTACTCGGCCAGCGGCTCCTATATCTTCCTAAAAGGAAGGTTGGCACGCTGTGCTGGTTTAATGTTAGACTACAATCGATGCAATTATCTGATTTGAGAAAACTCCCTTTTAAGGTGTGTCTTTTCAACGCAAAATGGTCTAAATCTTTTTTCCCACACTAATAAAATATTCACTTCCAAGATACGCCTGGTACAAGAGAGACAACCCAGAACACTTAAAGGCCACAGGACCTAGGTCATAACGAGTGTAGTTTCCTTATCAGTGTCCTGACAAGGATGTCTGAAACATAGCTAAGTTTCCTTATCAGTGTACTGACAAGGATGTCTGAAACATAGCTAAGCTAAGTTTCCTTATCAATGTACTGACAAGGATGTCTGAAACATAGCTAAGTTTCCTTATCAGTGTACTGACAAGGATGTCTGAAACATAGCTAAGTTTCCTTATCAGTGTCCTGACAATGATGTCTGAAACATAGTTAAGTTTCCTTATCAGTGTACTGACAAGGATGTCTGAAACATAGCTAAGTTTCCTTATCAGTGTACTGACAAGGATGTCTGAAACATAGCTAAGTTTCCTTATCAGTGTACTGACAAGGATGTCTGAAACATAGCTTAGTTTCTTTATCAGTGTACTGACAAGGATGTCTGAAACATAGCTAAGTTTCCTTATCAGTGTACTGACAAGGATGTCTGAAACATAGCCAAGTTACCTTATCAATGTACTGACAAGGATGTCTGAAACATAGCTAAGTTTCCTTATCAGTGTACTGACAAGGATGTCTGAAACATAGCTAAGTTTCCTTATCAGTGTACTGACAAGGATGTCTGAAACATAGCTAAGCTAAGTTTCCTTATCAATGTACTGACAAGGATGTCTGAAACATAGCTAAGTTTCCTTATCAGTGTACTGACAAGGATGTCTGAAACATAGCTGAGTTTCCTTATCAATGAACTGACAAGGATGTCTGAAACATAGCTAAGTTTCCTTATCAATGTACTGACAAGGGTGTCTGAAACATAGCTAAGTTTCCTTATCAATGTACTGACAAGGATGTCTGAAACATAGCTAAGTTTACTTATCAATGTACTGACAAGGATGTCTGATACATAGCTAAGCTAAGTTTACTTATCAATGTACTGACAAGGATGTCTGAAACATAGCCAAGTTTCCTTATCAATGCACTGACAAGGATGTCTGAAACATAGCTAAGCTAAGTTTCCTTATCAATGTACTGACAAGGATGTCTGAAACATAGCCAAGTTTCCTTATCAGTGCACTGACAAGGATGTCTTAAACATAGCTAAGCTAAGTTTCCTTATCAATGTACTGACAAGGATGTCTGAAACATAGCTAAGGAAGACAATCTTTCTTGCTTGTATTTATAATTTTTATTTATGGCAGTGTGTAGGGGGAAAAGGGGGGGGGGGAGCTGGAAGTAAGTGTATGGCAAGTGCAGTCAACCACCATTTTTTGTTTGCCCTGAACATAAAATATTCATCACCTTGCTGAAGAGCCAGTCCTGTATCTCTTGGTTACTGTTACTACTGTCTATATTAATTTGGAGGGGGGGGGCAGAGAGGGTGGGTGGAGTTCAGGAACCTGAGGAGTTTAGGACCCAGCATTCGAACCACAGCCATCAGCTCCTCAAATAAAATAAAAACTGCCAAGAAAAGTCACAGAAATCACTCAGACACATGACAAAACTGCCAACAAAAGTCACAGAAATCACTCAGACATATGACAAAACTGCCAAGAAAAGTCACAGAAATCACTCAGACATATGACAAAACTGCCAACAAAGGCCACAGAAATCACTAGACATATGACAAAACTGCCAACAAAAGCCACAGAAATCACTCAGACATATGACAAAACTGCCAACAAAAGTCACAGGAATCACTCAGACATATGACAAAACTGCCAACAAAAGCCACAGAAATCACTCAGACACATGACAAAACTGCCAACAAAAGCCACAGAAATCACTCAAGACACTTGACAAAACTGGCAAGAAAAGCCACAGAAATAGACATTTGACAAATCAGCAAACCAACAAAATCACAGAGACATTCGACAAACCAACAAAATCACAGAGATAATCGACAAACCAACAAAATCACAGAGACATTCGACAAACCAACAAAATCACAGAGATAATGGACAAACCAACAAAATCAGACATTCGACAAACCAACAAAATCATTGATAATCGACAAACTAACAAAATCACAGACATTCGACAAACCAACAAAATCACACAGACATTTGACAAATCAACAAAATCAGAGATAATCGACAAAATAACAAAATCACAGACATTCGACAAACTAACAAAATCATAGAGACATTCGTCAAACCAACAAAATCACAGACATTCGACAAACCAACAAAATCACAGAAATAATCGACAAACCAACAAAATCAGACATTCGACAAACCAACAAAATCAGAGAGACATTCAACAAACCAACAAAATCACAGAAATAATCGACAAACCAACAAAATCACAGAGATAATCGACAAACCAACAAAATCACAGACATTTGTCAAACCAACAAAATCAGAGACATTCAACAAACCAACAAAATCACAGATAATTGACAAACCAACAAAATCACAGAGACATTCAACAAAATCACAGAGACATTCAACAAACCAACAAAATCACAGAGACATTCGATAAACCAACAAAATCACAGAGACATTCGACAAACCAACAAAACCGAAGGCGACTGAGAAACTTTTTTTTACTGCATATTCTCACTTCTTTAAGTTAATCTTTGTCACCAACCACATCTTGATTGCAGCAACTTTAATACCAATAATAATTATTACATAAATAGTACAGGAATAAAGCATCTGTGCCAGCCAAACATGGGACAACATTCCAACAATGATTTCATAGTTGCCTTGAGCCTTGAGAAAAGCAATAA